TACGAGTCAACCATTTTGGTGAGAAGAATTCACAGGTCTTCACAACGAGGTCTGTAAAAGGTCAGCTCAGTGCCCCTACCAAGCCAAACTGCGCCCAGAACAATTCCAAAACAAAATAAGCAAATCTGGAAATATCAAGGAACAGCTCTATTAGTTTTCTAATAGGCTGCTCTAATTGGAGCGGATTGGGAGATGCCCTTTTTGCGACGCCCGAAAAGTAGCGGATTATTTTCTAGCTATGCTCTAACTAGACATACTGTAGCGCTATCATGCTGAATCAAATGAGTTCGCTGCGAACATTACACCCCCAACTTCACTTGCAACGTTGACTTCGCCGCATCGCCGCAACATGGATCTCCCGATGGCTCCTGTGTAGTCGCACTATCCAGTCTGGCAGCTGGGCACAACCGGGAATTCCCAGCCGAGGCCCACTTGACTCAGTGTCCTAATGATTCCGGCTCAAGCCTTTTTTTAGCCTAAATGAAAAGGGACCATGGCGTGATGAGCACTGTCGGTTTTCTCTTTTCAGATCTGGAAAGGCAAAAAGGCAAATTTGGAAGACGAGTTGGAACTGGCCGATAAGAACAAACCGGAAGAAAATCTAGAGACTAACATCAAACGCTATGCAAGTCACATGAGTCTTCAACCGGATGGGGTCTGTTTCGTCTGCTTTTCAGCACTTCCTACGGAATCTGGCCATTTATGGCTTCATGGCGAACCAGTAATCTGTGGGAGCGCTAGAGGAGTGCGTCTGACTTGATACCCTTGTTATGATTCCAGAGATTCGTCGGAGAACTTCCAACTCCTCCTCCAGAACTTCTGCGATCGTTGTCCCGTGATGTAGCCCGAACCTACCCATCACTGTCGGTGGAGGATCAGGCAAAAATTCTAGCCTATAGGCTTAGTAAGAGTACGGTAAGGGTTTTATCTCTCTTTAATTATAACACATGGAATGTTGGTTTGTGTGTATTCAGCCCAAAGATCGTCTTCATTATCGAATTCGAGCGGCGAGAATTCTAAGCTCCGGCCTGAGAAAAAGCGAAATCGAACGGGAAGTGGAGGAGAACCTCTTGAAGTATGATGGTGTTACCGTACCTGACGAAAGAAGTGAGTAAATGACAAGCTAAGAAGCTCCTAAAATACCAGTGTATTTGATTTTTATGTTTTAGAGAAACCTACGGTCGAGTTTGCTGCAAGAGTCTACGCTGTCGAACCCACGGACAAAAGAGTCACCCTCACGGTAAGATTTTGCATCCATTCAGTAGATTACGCAGTATTCCGCTTACCCGTGGTAAGCTTCTGCCAAATTTAGCCCAGCCAGAGGAGAGATGGCTACCTATTTTGTCCTGCAGTTGTATTAGAAAGGAGTCAAAGGCGTGATAGAGTCTGCGCTATCAAAGGCCCAGTCCAGACTGATCGTGTGGGCGGAGACGGACGGGGTCGACTCACCATGGTGTTACCTTCACTGATGCAGACCTCTGTATAAAACGTTGCAGTGAGGCAGCGTTCAAATGGGTTGCCTTCCACAAACGGTTGACTGTCTCCGCCCATATGATCGTTGTGGACTGTGCCTTCAAAAGCCTACCAGCAATACACTTCTGGGATAGGATTGGCGAATTCAAGGCCTAGTCCATGCTGACTGTATGGGCGGAAACATGGGCGCAGTAAGGCCTATCATGGTGCCACCCTGACAGGTGCGTTCGTCCGTCTAGGGCAGCGAAGTGTAGCAGCGTTCATAAGGAATGCGCGATAGTTAACCGTTCCCGCCCATACGATCAGTGCGGAGTGTTCCAAGACCTACTATCAGTGCAGTACTGATGTTCATGGCGACGATGGTCTTTCTGCAGCCGAGTTGGGAGCTGGAGCTTCAGCGGTGTATCTTCTAGCACGCTTTCCTTTCTTTAAAGGACATGAATTAACCACTCGATAGGTTCAAATTCATAATCCCCTCCAACGAGCAGCTTCCCTTCGCAATGTCTGGAGAGAGAATACCTTTCAAACAGCTAGCTATGCTCCCAGCTCTCCCGAACGGGACTTCCAGCC